CACAAAAAGTTTCATTCAATGAGATCTTTATACAGTTATTATTTCTTGGGCATACAATTATTTATAAGTTGTTTTTCTGTTTATTTTTAATTTTATTAATTATAAGCTATGTACTTTGAGTTTTGTAGTATCCAAACCTACTAATGTTAAATAATTGTTTCTTGATACATACTTTATATACATACACTCTAATTTGAATTTTTTAATGCAATATTTTTGTTTATTTAAAGCATTTAACGTACACACTAGAATGTGCGTACATTTGTTTCATTGCATAATATTCGTTTGGTGGTAAAGAAGATGTTGAATAAGTAAAACAAATTGCCACTTTAGAAGTTTTCTCATAAAAAAAAAAAAAAAATTGTATGACCTCCATATTGCTCCAGTTCACGCTTGTCTATCATACTCATATACAATTTATTTTGTTTTTATTTGATTTAATTTATGGTTATTTATTTTAATTTATTTTTATTTAATTCAATAATATTTTTTTGTTTCCTTTTAAATTTCACTCTTCATCGTTGCTGGAGAGCAGAAAATCTGATCGAAAATGAAGAATGCTGTTTTTGCTTTCGGAAAGTCTAAAAAAATCTGAAATTTTCTTTTAAACAAATGAAAAATATTCTTTTTAGCAAAATTCTTTTCTTTAATTCTATTCTTTTAAGCAAATGAAAAATATTATCGAGCTACAAGCAACTTCTTTTTAAGCAAAAAAAAAAAAAAAAGTCCAAATGAATTCTCATATAAAAATTTAGGAGAAGCGTTAATTTTTTCATAATCCAATAATCGGAACTAAACCAAATTAGTATGTGACCACCCTTGAGGTACCACCTTTATGGTTAATGTGGTCCAAAGTTATTAAAATACATTAAAAATATTGCGACGAATTGATAACCTCCTTCTTTTTTGAAGACGGTAAAATAAATATAAACGAAAATTCACATATAAAAATTCTTTTGAGGTGTACAACTTCACATTGAAATAAAATGATGAGATAACATACATATGTACATTACGGCGAATCATTATCTATACAAAAACAAAAAAAAAAATAAAAAACAACACAAAAAATAATATATATATTTTATTATATTTTAAGCCTTCCTCCAAAATATTTCGGAAAAATATCAAAATTTACGTCGGCTGGAATTAATTGAAAACCCTTCCAAAATAGAGTTTAAAGTAAAATATAAATAAAATAAATAATGAAATTGGTTTTTAAAAATAGTTTTTCTAAAAAATCAACTCAGATGATAGAAGAGTTTAAGCTCAAAAGGTCTGCATAAAATTAAAAAAAAAATTTATCATCGGCATCGAAGCAATGAGATTTTTGGAGGTATTTTCAAATCGGACTAGCTCACGCGGTTAACTTGGATGCAGCACATTCTGGAAGCCCATTTTTCGAACGCTTTTTCAAGGAATGAATGCCGCATTTCGATAACCGTTCAAAGTTTCCCCTTTATTCACAGAAACCAATAGCATCACATAACTCCACAGAAATAGTCAGTCGCCCGCTCCTGGTGGTCAATTGACTGGCCCATTTCGTGAAATAACGCGTTCAACAGATGTTTCCTTTCCTTCAATGCATCGATTGTTTGACGCATCGTACAGCATGTGGCGCCGTCTTGCTGGAAAAACATATCTACAGTCAACATTCCATTCAATTGGGGCCCGAAATGATCGGAAATCGCGGCGCTATAGCACCAGCCGTTGGCGATAACGTTCTCACCGTCTTTATTTTTAAAGGAGGAAGCATCAACGAAAGCATACCAAACAGTAGATGTTTCTTTTTTGTGGATGCATTTTCACTTCAAAGGCGACAACTTTGCTTAATGGCATGTAGATTGAGCCAAAATTAGCCAAATAAACGAACAGAATGTTCCAATTGCTTTTGTAATTAACAAATTTACCGAATTTGCAAGCTTCATTAAATTTTAGAACATAGAGAATGCATGTATGTACATATTTATATGCATTAGATCTTGCGTATTTAAATTTGGATATTAAAGTAGCGAGATATAAACCATTAAGCTTTTGCTGAAGAAGTTTTTTGATTGTTCCAGTAGAGCTATTAAAAAAAAAAAAATGATCGCCGTATGTGGGTGTCACCCAAAATGGTACGGTCTAATGTACCTACATACATACCGTCACCTTCATATAGAAAGGCCCTAACTCATTTTCTTTCGAAACTCAGCTTTGTACAAAAGTCGGCAGACTGTTCAGTAAGGACCTAAGCGAATTTAAAAACAGCTACTACATCAATTAATTTGTTTCGGTGTGTATTAAAAACCAAAGTTTTGGAGGAATTTGCAACTGAGGAACTTTAGTATTTATATAGCGTTATAACTACTCTGTTAAGAAACAAAAATGTGAGATAGTGCCTTGCTATATTAAGGTAACGATATCTATATATCTGTGTTCGTATGGAATAGTAGCTTATGTCGGGAAGTTGGCTTGAGTATAGTTCGGCATGCCCTTTATTCTTTAAACCACAAGAAATTTTTTGATGAGAGTTACTTAATAAGAATATTGACCTGCTAGTATCGGAATTATTTTTTGCATGTTTATTTGCCAAAAGTTCTTCAACAGCTCGGCGCCAGTGAGTCATTCGCAATCGTATGCTGCGAATGCCGCATTATACTAAAGCCAGCCTTTCGACACACGCTACTCTTCCATACTTTTCAGCAACGAGATTTAGTGCTTATTTTGGTTTGAAATATTTAGAGATTGGCCAGGTAGTAATAAAAATATCAAATTTACTCCGATTGGTGAAATCATAAAAAAGTGGTTATTTATTTATTATTATTATGTATTTTTAGAGATCAATTGAGTAGCGGTTAAACTTTTATAATCATAACATAAACTTTGCAAGATATTTAAACCCTCACACTCGTACTTGGGTGCGCTCTTAAGCTTTGCGCCGTGTCAAAATTATAAGCGCAGCGCATATTTACAAGTTTTTACAATAAATTTTTTGTTGAATTAATTTTAATAATTTTTTTTTTTATAAAAATGCAAGTTTCAAACTTTGTGAAATATTTAAAGAAGTCAACACACTATAATAAAAATTTTAAGCTTTTTAATTCGACTTCTTAGAAGGATTTTGAATAAGCGCAAACCTTGAAAATTAGATTTTCATGGTTTTGTTACAGAATAAACTATATTTTTATAAAAAAAAATTAAATTTTAACAACAAAATAATAAATTGTTAAACCTTTTCAATTTACGGTGCGCTTATAATTTTGACACGGGGTGTATACATAGTATCAAATATTCTATGTGTGATATCGAGCCCTAACCGCCAAAATAACGTAAGCGACATTTTTTTCAA